TCCACCTCAGGAGCCTTAAGAAAGCTTTCACCCTTTTTTTCCCCCATGAGATTTATCTCATCTGTGTGACGAACAATAACAGAAGCTCTGCTGCACCAGTGAGGTGTCAGCTTGGCATGTTTTGAATGATCCCCATGCAGAGAGTCTTGGCACGCTGGGACAGTGTCTCTCCAGCAGTGTCTCCTCGAAGTGGGCTCACTAATGTTACTAATCGAACTGAGGCAGCAGAAGACAGCTGGATTTAGTGAAAGGTAAACAGAGTAAACTTTCATGAAAACGAGCTTGCTGAGTTTGATATGACTGTGCTCTCGTGGATCTCTGTGGTTTTATTTTGGTGCCTCCATCTTCACCTTGTAATGTTTGATTTAAAGGGACATTGGCCCAAGGGCTGCAGCTCATTCTATTTTTGCATCAGGAGACAGTTCTCGGTGGTTTAATGACGGGTGTGTAATACAATCCAGTCATGCTGCTCCCGGCTGGGCCTGATTTTGCCTGTCAGGGATGGGGGAGGAAGAACAATGATATGTTCTTTTGTGATCTCATGTTACCTGTGAAGGTTTCGTGAAGTGCAGCCCTCACAACTGTATTTTCTGCACTTGAAAAACTCACTTTTTTAAGCTTAGCAACTACCAGCTAACCTTACTGGAGTCCTACAGAGAAGTGCAGTAAGTACTTCTTACAGTAAATACAGTAAAAGTAACACACTTTAATGGTTAACTGTCCTTTTTCTACCTTAAGCTCCTGTCCTTTGCAAGAAACTTAAAATTGTGTCTAACTTCATACATACATAAAATAAAATTGTTTAAACACTGGACTTAGTTAAGCAGTATTTACTGTCACACCCTGATCTCTTGTTCCTGTGTTTGCAAAAGTTGTTTTCCCAGCCTTGGGAAAGAGATGTTGGCTGTGATTCACATCCTAGCTGCATGATCACCGTTACTGAGAAGGTGTGCATGAAGCTGCTAAGGCAGTCTCCGTCTAGCTGCTTCATGCACACCTTCTCAGTAACAGTGCTCATGCAGCTAGACAGAGACTGCCTTAGCTGAGCCCCTGTCCTCCTCGGATAGCGGTGTCTTCTGGTAGCTGTAAGAGGGCCGGTGAAGTTTGAAACTGCTACATGTGGCTCCACAGCAGAGAAACAGCTGCGACAGAAGAGACAGCAAGAGACAGGATGGCAGAGGAAACA